ATGCCTGGCTAAGTTTTATTTTATTTAACTTTTTGTGGAGATGGAGTCTTGCTACACTGCCCAGGCTGGTCTTGAACTCCTGAGCTCAAGTGATTAGCCTCCCAAAGGGTTGGGATAACAGGCATCTGCCACCATGCTTGACCAAAATAAAATAAAATAAAAATATTTTAAAATGAGACACACAAAAATAAAGTTAAGAAATTTAGATGGACTCAGCAAGAAGGTTAATGTATAAAATATAGGCTACATAGTCCTATACACTTGCTCTGACTGGATTGCAAATTTGAGTATAAACTTCTTAGCTGTCATCTCAAAGGGGGAAACATGGCAAGTCACCAGACAGTGTCCATCTGTTAAAAGGAAAACTTAAGACAAAATAAATTTGACAGAGTTTAAGGAAAATAATGATTAATGAATTGGGAAGTATCAAAACCAAAAAGAGTTTATGGGCTCCACTCTAGCAGCCAAAGCAGGGAGGTGTTTCTTTCTTCTTTTCTTTTTTTTTTTTGTTTGCCATGACACGGAAACAAAGTACAGAAATTACCCAATTAGCTACAGCTATGCATTGGCCTTATTTGGGTATGGTCTGATAGGAAGTCTCTAGTTATGTATCCAATCAGCTGATTGGCTGTTTGTGATTGGCTAAAGCTGGTGGGTTTTTTTTTTAAGTTAATTACAAGAACTGCTTCCACTTCAGTTTCAGTTTGCTTATATAAGAGTTTTAGGTGCAGAGACAACCTTAGGCTAATGGCCTCCTTCTTGTTTTTTCTTTTTTGTTTTGAGACTCAGTCTTGCTCTGTCACCCAGGCTGGAGTGCAGTAGTGCGACCTCAGCTCATGCACCCTCCGCCTTCTGAGTTCAAGTGACTCTCCTGCCTCAGCTCTCCGAGTAGCTGGGATTACAGGCACGAGCCACCACACCCGGCTAATTTTTGAATTTTTAGTAGAGATGGGTTTTACCATGTTGGCCAGGCTGGTCTCAAACTCCTAACCCCAAGTGATCCCTCCTCGGCTTCCCAAAGTGCTTGGATTACAGGTGTGAGGCACCTCACAGGCCTAATGGCTTCCTTATTTGCTTGAACACATTCATAAAGTTAAAAACAAATTAGTAGTCTTGTGATTCCTCAAAAAGTTGAACATAGAATTACCATATAATCTGCAATTCCACTTTGAAGTACATACCTAAAAAAAAATGAAAACAGCTATTCAAACAGATACTTATACACCAATGTTCATAGTAGCATTATTCACAATAACCAAAGGTGGAAACAACCAAAATGTTCATCAATGGATGAATGGATAAATAAAATATGGCATATTCATGCAATGAAATATATTATTCAGTCATAAAAAGAAATGAAGTACTGATACATGCTGCAACACATATGATCCTCGAAAACAAGTGAAAGGAGCTAGAAACAAGAGGTCATGTAATGTATGATCCCATTTACATGAAATAGCCAGACTAGTTAAGTCCCTAAAGACAAGAAGTATATTAGTATTTGTCAGGGGCTGGGGAGAGAGGAAAATAGGAAGTGGCTGCTTAATGAGTTCCAGGTTTACTTTGTGGGTGATGAAAATGTTTTGGGACTAGATAGAGTTGATGGTTGTGCAACATTATGAATGTACTAAATGCCATTAATTGTATACTTTAAAATGATTAATGTTGCCGGGTGCAGTGGCTCATGCCTGTAATCCCAGCACTTTGGAAGGCCGAGGCAGGTGGATCACCTGAGGTCAGGAGTTTGAGACCAGCCTGGCCAACATAGCAAAACCCTGTATCTACTAAAAATACAAAAATTAGCCAGGCATGGTGGTGTGTACCTGCAGTCTCAGCCACTTGGGAGGCTGAGGCAGGAAAATTGCTTGAACCCAGGAAGCAGAGGTTGCAGTGAGCTGAGATAGCACCACTGCACTCCAGCTTGGGAGACACAGCAAGACTTTGTCTCAAAAATAAAATAAAATAAAACAATTAATGTTATATTTTATGAATGTCATTTCAGTAAAAATTAAAACAAGTGAATTGCTCTGGAAATATACAACCATTTCTAATAATGAGACCAGACAGGACATTCTTTAAGGAAATGAACTCTCAGCAATATCTTTATTTGAACGAAATGTTGCGTTCATATCATTCTTCAATATAAACTGATGTCAAGGTTAAATGGGTGACATGGTGAAAGGTATTCTATTGGGAACAGGGTGGGTAGGGAAAGAGAGTAGGAGGAATAGCGTGTTAGTAGTGTGGCCCAAGCTACATTGGTCTTTCATAAGGAGGCTTAATGCAGAAATAAAAACACCCCAAAGAAGAGTTGGACCAGAATCCATCATAAATGTTTTCCTCAGATTTTTGGAAGTTATGGAGCGGGACTGAGTTTGACATTGCACTGCCTGTCAAGTATTCGGGTGTAGTCAAGAATAGAGCCTCATACTTTAAGTGTTAGCCAGTCTGGAAGCAGGAGCAAGATCCACTGGCAAATGAGGAGAATGTTGGAAGTGAGCAGTGACAGTGTTGAGGTAGTGAAGGTTCTCCTGAAAAAGTGTTGGGTCTTCTCAAACACCAAACAAAGGGTAATTATAAACCCATATAGTTCCATGAAATAAATCACGCTCTCAGTATCTTCAGAGTGGAAAGGTTTCTTGTAGATCAAACAAAGTCATGTATAGGAAAATTCTTTGAAAAGTATAAAGTAGCATATCAATCATAGTTGTCATTATTATTAATATCTGATAATAACCTGTAAACAACATATTTGAACAACATTTTCACATACAGTGTTCATTCATCATTCTCAACAAATATTGATTGAATTGTCTGCCAGGTAGGGCAGGCAATATCCTCCACATTTAAAAGTTTTTTTTTTTTTTTTGTTAGACTGAGTCTTGCTCCATCATGCAGGCTGGAGTGCAGTGGCACGATCTCGGCTCACTGCAACCTCTGCCTCCTGGGTTCAAGCGATTCTCCTGCCTCAGCCTCCTGAGTAGCTGGAATTACAGGCATGCGCCACCACACCTGGCTTTTTTTTTTTTTTTTTTTTTTTTCTTTTTTTTGAGGGGGGCGGAGTCTCCCTCTGGCGTCCAGGCTGGAGTGCGGCGGTGCTATCTCGGCTCACTGCAAACTCTGCCTCTCGGGTTCAAGACATTCTCCTGCCTCAGCCTCCGGAGTAGCTGGGATTACAGGCGACCGCCATCATGCCATTTTTGTAACTTTTTGGTAGAGATGGGATTTCACCATGTTGCCCAGGTTGGTCTCAAACTCCTGACCTCAGGTGATCCGCCCGCCTTGGCGTCCCAAAGTGCTGGGATTACAGGCATGGGCCACCGCACCCGGCCCATCTTCATTAACTCTTCATTGGAATTACTTAATGCCTTGAGGGAAGTTTGACCATTTCCATTTTTGTCTATGGAGTAGCATTTTCTTTAATTGCTATTACATAGCGTTCTTAGGGGCCATGCTACCGAAATGGCTGCACACAATACTTAGCTTTATATATTGACGAACATTTGTTGAGTGCACACTGTGTGTTACGTATGGTGCTAGGCATTATGCAGATATATAGTTTTATTTACTCTTAAAAACAGCCTTCTGAGGAATTTTTATCATCCCTCTTCTGTTTGTACAGAAGCTAAAGCTCGGAAAGATGAATTAACTTGTCCAAAGTCACAGGCAGAAACATAAATGGTTCAACAGTCCTTATAGGAGGTCATTTAAAGGTTCATGAAAATCAGAGGCTGAACCAACAGAGCTCTATGATTCCTATCAGAGGAGCCAGTATGGCATAAAGCAAATGTTGAACCAAGAATGAAAGTAAGAAAGGGCTGGGTCCATATATAGTTTTGTCTAACTCCAAAGTTCACAGCTTAAGCACTCTGCTACATGGAGACACAAGTCCGCTAAGTTTATAATAATTTTAGTTGCCACCCAGATAATTATGGCAATAAAGTCCAGGTCATCATCATCATAGCCATTATAATTTACCATTCAAAACTGTCTTATAAGTGTGTAACGGTCATAGATTCAGGAACATTTGTAAATCTTAAAGTCTCAATGATAAAGGACAAGGAAGTGAGGAAGTGTCCTCCACAGAAAAGTTTTTTTTGAGAAGATGGCAACCTTTTGCTAGGAAAAGTGAAAAATTGAGGTATTATTCTGTTGTTTGATTCTGGTTATTTAAAAGCTAGTATCTACGCTTTTTTTTTTTTTTTTTTTTTTTTTTTTTTTTTTTTTTTTTTTGAGACGGAGTCTGGTTCTTGTTGCCCAGGCTGGAGTGCAGTGGCGCGATCTCGGCTCATTGCAACCTCCACCTTCCCGGGTTCAAGCAATTCTCCTGCCTCAGCCTCCAGAGTAGCTGAGATTACAGGCGCCTGTCACCACGCCCGGCTTTTCTTTTCTTTTTTGTATTTTTAGTAGAGACGGGGTTTCACCATGTTAGCCAGGCTGGTCTCAAACTCCTGACCTCGTGATCCGCACCCCCCCGTCGGTCTCCCAAAGTGCTGGGATTACAGGGGTGAGCCACCGTGCCCGGCGGTATCTATGCTTTTGACTAACATTTTTCTGTACAGGTGTATAATGTAACGTAATAGGTAAAATAGCTCATTCAACAACAAAAAATTATTGTAGTATTTTGTAGCTACTAGGATTGAAGTAATAAAGAATTGTCTGTCTGCCAAGGTTTGGGGAAATGGGAAAATGGGAAAAGATCTTCACCACACTGGGCATATTTCACCTCTCTGGGATTCATTTCCTATTCTGTAAATGGGAGAGTTGGGTTTCCAGGTCTCGTCCTTGTTTTTTTGACTTTGTGTGAAGGTTTCTCCACCTCACCTGGCACTAGTCTTATTTCAAAATATTCATCTCATACTATCCTTTGTTTGCAATTCTTTAATTAATTCAACAAATATTTATTGAGCTTCTACTAGTATCGTAACAGAAGCAAGGTTCCTCCACACATGGAGCTTATTACAGTCCAAAAGGATAGGACAATAACTAATTTTGAAAATAAATACAAATATTTATTAATAACTAATAAATAAAATTGGTTGGAAAGGTGCTAAGAAGGAAATAAATAGGATCATGTGTTATGTCTTTGAGAGTCTTAAAATGAAGCAGATAAGCTTTGACTTTCAAAAGTGCTCACATAGGGAAGTCATTAGGTTTCAAAAAAGGAAAAAATAAGATAATATCTTACAATTAACTAATGAATATGAACAGCCATTACGCTAGAAGAAAATTGTATTGTGATTGGTGTACTCTGTATCTTCTCAGAATGGGAGAGGTGAGGCTTCTCAAGAGCAGTGAGAGAAAGTCAATTTTTTTTTTTTTGGTAAGTCAAGCGAAAGACGAACTGAAAATAGACAACCTGAAGTCAGACGGGAAAGCTGCCAATCTAGTCTGGCCAGCAGAATTTCTTTCAGTAGGTCTAGGCTTCCTTGGCAGTGGGAATCCAGATGTAAAGAAAACTTATGCCATGAACTTCAAGGTAATTTCAATTATTACTGCCCGGTGGCAGGAACCTAGGAAGGAGAGGTCAAGGTGTGGTTTAGTAAGAGACAGCTCCTGGGAACGGCGCTTGGAAGGGCAGGGCGGAGAACAGCTGGAGATGAGACAGAGAAGAGCGGGGAGAATGCGCCGACACCTCAAGGTGAGAGAGTAGAAACAGTCTCCGCCGTGGGAGCCGCGCGCTGCTCAGGTGGTTGTTTCCCGCTCAGGTGAGCTCCTCCCGCGCCTCCCATTGGCCGAGACGTCCGCGGCGCTGGGAGGGCGACGCCGCGCGGTCTAGTTCAGGGTCTAGGGCGGCGCGTCACTTCCGGTAGCGCGGAGCTTGTAAAACACCCTGGAGAGAAAATGGCGGCGGCAGCGGCTTCGGCACCTCAGCAGCTCTCGGATGAGGAGCTTTTCTCTCAGCTCCGCCGTTACGGCCTGTCTCCCGGACCAGTGACGGAGAGCACCCGCCCGGTCTACCTCAAGAAGCTGAAGAAGCTTCGAGAGGAAGAGCAGCAACAGCACCGGTCGGGGGGCCGCGGCAACAAGACGCGGAACAGTAATAACAATAACACGGCAGCCGCCACGGTCGTAGCCGCGGGACCAGCGGCGGCAGCAGCCGCGGGGATGGGGGTCCGGCCAGTCGCGGGCGACCTCTCCTACTTACGGACTCCTGGGGGCCTGTGCCGAATCTCGGCCTCCGGCTCGGAGAACCTCCTGGGAGGGCCCGGGGGCGCCTCCGCCGCCCCCACGGCTGGCAGCAAAGTGCTGCTGGGCTTCAGCTCGGACGAGTCGGACGTGGAGGCCAGTCCCCGGGACCAGGCCGGCGGCGGCGGGAGGAAAGACCGGGCTTCGCTCCAGTACCGCGGGCTCAAAGCGCCGCCGGCGCCCCTGGCCGCCAGCGAGGTGACTAACAGCAACTCTGCCGAGCGAAGGAAGCCCCACTCGTGGTGGGGGGCCAGGAGGCCGGCGGGCCCCGACCTGCAGACCCCGCCGGGGAAAGATGGAGCAGTGGAGGACGAGGAAGGGGAGGGAGAGGACGGTGAGGAGAGGGACCCGGAGGCCGAGGAGCCGCTCTGGGCGAGCCGGACCGTGAATGGCAGCCGGCTTGTCCCCTACAGCTGCCGGGAAAACTATTCGGACTCAGAGGAAGAGGACGACGACGACGTGGCCTCCAGCAGACAGGTATTAAAGGACGACTCCGTTTCCCGGCATCGGCCCAGACGAACCCATAGTAAGCCTCTCTCCCCGCTGACTGCTAAATCGGCCGGCGGCAGGCTGGAGACTTCAGTTCAGGGAGGGGGAGGACACGCGATGAATGACAGGGCGGCGGCTGCCGGGAGTCTAGACAGGAGCCGAAACCTCGAAGAGGCGGCGGAGCAGGGAGGAGGGTGTGATCAAGTGGACTCCAGCCCGGTTCCTAGATACCGTGTTAACGCTAAGAAACTGACCCCACTCCTGCCCCCGCCACTTACTGACATGGACTCAACCTTGGATTCGTCAACAGGCTCCCTTCTGAAAACCAATAATCATATTGGCGGTGGGGCCTTCAATGTGGACTCTCCCAGGATTTATTCTAACAGCCTCCCTCCCAGTGCGGCGGTGGCCGCCGCTAGTTCACTCAGGATCAACCACGCCAATCATACGGGCTCCAATCATACCTACCTGAAAAACACATACAACAAACCGAAGCTTTCCGAACCCGAAGAGGAACTTCTCCAGCAATTTAAACGGGAGGAGGTGTCCCCAACAGGGAGTTTCAGTGCCCACTACTTGTCGATGTTTCTCTTAACTGCTGCCTGCTTATTTTTCCTAATACTGGGACTGACATACCTAGGAATGAGAGGGACAGGAGTATCTGAGGATGGAAAACTCAGCAGTAAGTATTAAATCCTGTGGGTAAGGTAACAAAGGGAATGTTGTTAGTGGTCCGCTTTAGCCGCGCTTAGCGTTTTACATGAACTGACTTACCTGCAAGAACATGGTTTGACAGCAAAAACGCAACAGTCAGTGCATGTGTCATCTTTCTTTAAGAAAGAACACCATTATCGAAATGATATCATATGACTGGTGTTAAGTTTTCTGCATGATGTATTGTGAAATTCAAAACAATTTTTAAAAGAATATTATAAGCTTGTTAGTAAAACTCATTTGTATATGTGACAGTTTTCTTTTAGCCCTAAATATTTGCGCAGATGCCAATCACTCAACAAATTTGAAGTATTAGGATAAGGCACATTATAAATGTAGTGTTTTTTCAAATTGAGTTGTGATTCTAGTAGGCAATGTAGTGGCTCTTGAAATTCGAATTATTTGTAGTATTAACTGTATGCATAAATTCGGGTTAAATATTTTGTCATATTAACTATATGTATAATTTCTTAATAGTGAATGAATATAAAAAAGCAGCAAGGCACACCTCTTAATTTATTTCCCAGCCCAAAGCACTTTCCCTGTCATCTGTACAAAAAGTAGTGGTAGGGCAGTGCAGGAGCTTGCAGTCAGATTTCCTTGGATTGGTTTCCAGGTCCTGTTATTTACTTGCTAAATGACTGTAGGTAGGTGTGTTCATTGTCATTATCAAAGTATTTCTGCCCTTAAACACAAAAAGAAGATGAATACAGACCATTTTGTGTTCTGCGAAGGAAATAAAGATGAGTAATTGAAGTACACAACTTTATTTTTTTTCTTTTTTTTAAAAAAACTTACCACACTACACTGACGTAGGTGTACACTGCTTTAGATTGAACGGAGGAGGTACTGTTTGAGGTGAGACCTGAAGCAGGAGACAGCCTTGTTGAGAAACAGGAGACCATTCTGAGCAGATTGTAAGAGGAAGGACCTTGAGTTGAGCAAGAGAGCCTTCTTGTAGGTTAAAGTGGTTAAGCACCTTGAGCAAAAGGGAGAGAGTAAGAGTTAAAGCTTCTGAACTTTCCTAGTCTATAAAATGAGGCCTCTATTGACTAGAATGATGTTTGTGAAGATTAAAAGAGAAAGTAAATTAGTACAAAATGGACTTCTGAATACATAATTTCTCCGTGTTAGGTCTCTCTCTGCATTCCCCTGAAGCCTTCCTATTTTCACCCAAGATGAATTCACTGTATTTTTATTTGTATTCATAAAGTTGGCTTATTAGTTTTATTTCAAAATAGAGTGAAAGATGCATTTAGCCAACTCAGATAAAGAATAGGAGTCAAAATAGTGTAAGCTTTGATATAGCCAATTCCAAGACAGTCAAATAATAGATTATTACTCTATTGCTTAATTACAGGGGTTAGAACAAGAATGAAATTCAGCTCTCACTTTAATTTGTTCCCTGGGAGCATGAGTGTATTGTGTCCTGCCCCAAATATTGGGGAGAAAAAAAATAAGGGCACACTAGAAGTTCAACTAGTAAAAGTTCACATAAATTAAATGACATTACCTATCAGCAGTAGCTATCTGCATCTGTGTCTCTAACAGCTATAAGATCTGGCCTTTTTCTTTTTTTTTTTGAGACAGTCTCTCTCTGTCGCCAGGCTGGAGTGCAGTGGCACGATCTCTGGTCACTGCAACCTCCGCCTCCCGGGTTCAAACGATTCTCCTGCCTCGGCCTCCCTAGTAGCTGGGACTATATGCACGTGCCACCAGGCCTGGCTAATTTCTTTTTTGTATTTTTTAGAGACGGAGTTTCACCATATTAGCAGATCTGGCCATTTTCTAAGAGCTAGTTGTTTTACATCTATTGTACCATTTCATCTTCCCAGCATCTCACAGAAGCAGGTGGTATTATCCTCATTTTTTGGATGAGGATGATACTAAGTTAAGAAATGCACTGAGTGTTGAACAGTTAGTAGTAAGGCTAAGATTTGGTTTCAGATTTTATTTCCAACTATAAAGACCATTTTAACAGTTTTGGGTATTGTTTGTAGAGAACTTTCTAAATAAGTGGGTACCTTTATTATGATTAAGAAAGTAATTGACGGCTGTGCACGGTGGCTCACGCTTGTAATCCTAGCACTTTGGGAGGCCGAGGTGGGTGGATCACGAGGTCAGGAGATCGAGACCATCCTGGCTAACATGGTGAAACCCCATCTCTATTAAAAATACAAAAAAAAATTAGTCGGGTGTGGTGGTGGGCGATCGCGCCACTGCACTCCAGCCTGGGCTACTGAGCAAGACTCCATCTCAAAAAAAAAAAAAAAAAAAAGTAATTGACTGTTTGGTAGGATTTCATACAGAATTATTGATAAGCACAATTCTCAAGGTGACTTTCACATCTTTCTCATCAGTATTAAGATGAATGACTAATGTGATGTACTAAAAGTTCAGGTAGAATAGGATAGGAATGCTAGGATTTTGGTACTCTTCACCTTCACGGATAAGGAAGGAAGGAAATTATATTTACATTTTAGTAAATGGTAAATGTGAAGTAATCTGGGTGTTGGAAAGAACAAAGAAGTAGAGGATCTAGGTTCTAGGACTTGTCTGAATGACTGTGGTCAAGCTCCTTAATCTCTGAGCCTCATTTTATATACTAAATGGAAATAACAATATCTGCTGTCTGTGGGGTTGTGAGGGTCAAGTGAGACAGTGTGTTAAGCATAAGGTGGTATTATTCAGAAGTTTAGACAAAATTTGTTGTATTCCTGGTAAACTAGAGAGAGAAATAGTTAAGACATTTCTATAAATGATATAGTAGTGCATTTCTTACCTGTTTAACATTTGGTTTTTATCCCATTAAATACACATTATAGAAATTAATACAGAAATTTGAATCAAAGTATGATGAATCCTTAATGTATGATATACTTGACATATTGTATGTCTACCCTGTGGAAAGAAGTGCCTAACTTCAGTTAGTCTGCACACCTAACAGTGTTAGGGTATCAAGAGTGAATAATATTTTCACTCCATATATATATGTATACACACACACACACACACACGTATTCGATATCCTTTGTTATATTATGATGCTTTAACCGTGGAGTTCGTTGGTCAAATAATATGCTTAGGGAAATCCTTGTACTTTGAGCAATAGTTTTCACCAGAAGATTGTAGGTTATATGTGAGAGTAACTTTTAGGAGGCTTTTATTAGTTCTTTAAATTACATATAACATATAATAGATTAGTCTTTTAAATTGTTCTTAATCATATAGTCTTTGAAACTTTTTCATCAATACCCTATTTTTTATTAATTGAATTGCTGTAAGTCTCTTCTTCCTCATCTATAAAACTAGGGGGTTGGATTAGATGATCCCTAAGCTCTTTCCAGCTCCAAGGTTTACGATTCTAACTTTGAACTGCCATACCAAAACAACTCAAGGATCAACCTGCAGTCAGAGTAGTCACTTGTTCCACAGGCGATTAAATCATTATAGCCTACCAAACGAAAATAGAGAAGCAGAGTAGATCAACTGTCCTAGGCTCATATGATCATTATTAATTTTTTTTTTTCAGTTACAAAAGACATGACTTCTACAGAAAGTTTGAATAGAGATGAAGGAAACAGTGAATGGTTATTGTATGCCTCTCTTCCTAGCCTCATGCTGCCCCCATATAAATAAGTTCAAGTATTAAGATCCTTTCTGACCTTCCTTAATATTTTTCATGTAAATACATCTGTGTGTGTGTGTGTATATGTGTGTGCGTACAGATTTTCATTCAAAAACAGAGTGTCTACTATGTGCCCGGTACTATTTTAAGCAGCAGGGATATGTGGCGAACAATATGTTGCATATGTGGAAGATGAAATCTCTGTTACAGAGCTTACACTTCTAGGAGGGGAATGGACAAGTAAATAAGAATTTCAGATAATGGTAGTTGCTAACACAAGGTATTGCTGGTAACTTTTTGGGGCTGAGGTGAAGAGATATGCAATATTACATAAAGGTAGGCAGACTTCTCTGAGGAAGGATGTTTGAACTGAGATATGAATGACTTGAAGGAACTAGCCTTTGGTCAGGAGAAGAGCATTCTGGCAGAAGTAACAGCAAGTGCAGAATTCCTGAGGCGAGAACAGCCTTGTGTGTTGAAGGACCAAAAAGAATGGCCAGTGTTGCTGGGACATAATGAATGAAGGGGAAAATGGCATGCTGTGAAGTTAGAGGTAGGTATGGGCCAGATCGTAAAGACCTAAACACCTTGAGGGGCGTTGAAAGGAGTCAGAATTTTAAGTGACATTATAGCATACATGTTCTGCAACTTGTTTTTTCACTTAACATTGTATTATGGGTAACTTTTCCATATACTAATTTTAAGTACAGAGGTATAACTTTAAAATCTCATTTTCCACTAGTCCCTTTCTCATTGTATAAAAATGCTAAAATCTCTATCATTCTAAAAATGTTGCTCTTCAATGCTCTTTTCTTCTCTAGTTGTTACTCTCTTCTCAAACTTTCTACCTCTATTTTCTTCCCTGCCATTCACTCAACCCTGTCTAGTTTAGCTTTCTTCACCAGCCATTCCTCTGCTACCTCTCTTCTTCAAGTCACCAGTTACTCAATTTTCAAATCCTCATCTCTTTGGTATGTTTAGTGCATTGACAGCTCCCTTCTTCATGAAACTTTCTCCTTTCTAAGCTTCTGTATCACTACTCTCTCTTAGTTTTCATACTCCTGTCTGCCTGTTTTAAATATTGGTGGTCTCCACAGCTTGATCTTTGGCTGTCTCCTATTGTACACATTTCTCTAGGAAGTTTCATTCACTCTCCTGGCCATTATCTTCGTTTTGTATTTTTACCTTGGATTTCTCCTGAGATCTAGGTATACCTATTTGTTTACTAGACATGTTTTGGGTATACTAGAAGTATGTACCAATACCATCTGACATTTTCCTTATATTTATCTTGTTTTTGCTCCTCTTCCCTGTTTTAGTTAATGGTGCTTCCATCCACC